GCAGTCGACATGGGAGAAGGGTTTGATGTCACTGAAGTCCAGGTCCGTGTTGTCTGGGTTTAGCACCAGGGAGAAGTGATGCACCCATTCCTCGAGGTTTATTGGGCAGCTGTTGAACTTCCTCTCTTGTTTGGCATGCTTCCAGGGGTCTTGCTCTGCCTCTGAAAGCCTTTTCACCTCCAAGCTCTCCTCGTAGGATTTTTTCTTGGAGGCAATCACTTTCCTGTACTCTTTCCTCTTCACTGAGTACTGCACCCTCATTGTAGAGTCATTCTTGGCTTTGTGGAGGAGGTGTATCACCTCCTTTCTCAGTTCATGGCAGTATATATCAAACCACGGCTTCCAGGGCCTCCTTCTAGGTCTGATCACTGATACTGCGTCCGAGATGGCCGTCTTCAGGTGTAGGAAGGCCTCGTCAATGTTTCCCCTTAGGATGCATGGGGCCACTAGCTCGAGGTTTTCATTTGCTCCAAGGCGCTGACAATCAATTTTACGTCCTCTTCGTGGTAATATCTTCTGCACCTGGACTTTGCTACTTGACTCCTGAGCAGGCAGCTTCCATCTAACAGACACTGAGAGGTGCTTGCGGAGTGGCGAATGGCTTCCCGCATCACACTTCCAGGAACGTACTGACTTGATGGAGGCATTTGTGAAGATGAGATCGATGGTGCTCTTCCCATTGTGGCAGAGGTAAGTTGGGGTTATGGGGTCATTCACCATGGTATATCCTGAGGCAAAGAGGAGGTTCTGTAGAGCCTCGCCTTTATCAGAGAGGATATCTGACCGGGCATTGAAGTCCCCAGTTAAGATTGTTGGTAATTCTTGGTTGATATTCTCCAGCGCTCTTAGTACCACTTCCAACATCTCCTCTACTTCGCACTGGGGCTGCACATAGCAGCATACCAGGTTGCACACCTTAGTTTGAACGACCACGTATGATTCGCTCTTGAGGAGTAACGATGGTTCCATGAAAGGTTTCACAGCAATTGTGATACCACCTGATGGACGCCCTCTCCTCGCTCTCTTCATTGCTGGTGAGTTGAATGTATAGAAGCCATTCAACTCGACTGGTTCTTCTGCAAAGGTTTCCGTGAGTAGAATGACATCGTGCTTGGAGAATACATCTTCCGGGCTAAGCTTCAGGATGGATTTCAGGCCCTCCACATTCCATAGTAGCGAGCTGAACAGGGTACTATGTTGTGAGGTTTTCTTCCGTTGGGTTTCTTTTCCGGCTCGAACGCCTCGGTGGGCCTTTCGCTGGCTGACCCTTGCGCCCCTCGCTCGTAAGCCTAGTCCTGACGACGGGTCGGTGTTCTCCCCACCAGGTGGTTTCCGTAGGCCTAGGTCTCCGATAAGCCCAAGTACTTTTGGGTCTATCTGCGTGTGTGCTTCTAGAGTTATTGAGAGTAGGATGTCCCTACCATATCTTAGTGAGTTCACACGTGAGATCAGGAGGAGCAGAATCGCACATAACGTAAAATTTCTTGAGAGAGAAAAACGAGTGGGAGTCGCCATCTTCGTGGCGCGCTCGACTTCCTATCTTCCTTTTATAGCTCCCTATATACACCATCTGAATCTGTCATTTCTCCGGTTCTTTTTGATAGGATTCCAATCTTATCCGAATTTGACCAGGAAGGTCAAATTAGGTAAGGACTCCCGGGTTCAATCGTGGCCCAAAAACTCCGTGGCCACCTCATCGCTAAAGGCAGCAGACCCTCCTTCCCAGTCTTTACACGTCCCCACGGGCAACCCTTGGAGTCCCCTTTCATCCCGCGGAAGGAAGTATGCTTTCCTCGACGATGTGAGATCTTCGCCGTAATTATTGTCGGAATTCCGACCCCTTTATTGATCGGCACTTTTTCCTTTCGATCACAACCCAGTCCGCTTCGTCCGAAAAGTCCATCTCCATCACTTTTCATGCTAGCCTATGAATGAAATTCATATCGAGGTCTGAACATCACTTAGTTGAGGGGGGGGGGGGGGGTTTGCGCAAGGGGTACAATGACTCTCTCTCTCTCTCAAGAACGGATCCGACAGTCGCCAAGGCCGGAGAGACATCGTAAGTCTTGCTCATCCACCCCCCTCCCCTTCCCATGGGGATCTTCATGCCTAGGTTACGGACTTTTAATGAGTGGCACTCGTATCCAGTATCGATCGCGACCAGTATCATCCGTAAATTCCATCTCCACCACTACTCATGAAGGTCTGTGAATAGAAAACAGGGAAAGAGAAATGGGATGGTTAATACGCTGCCGACATTGTCTTTCCGATCCAATATTGAAGCGCTCGTGTACCATACATGTGGAATCCCGCCGTTTTCACCCTCGGGAGTCCATCACCTTGTGAGAGGGCCGATCTATTATGAGGACGGAGTTCCAATTGATAAAAGGGTCGAGATTCCGAGAAATATATAAGCAGAGATCTCATACCAGCGAGGAAGTCATCCTTCAACCAGGAATGAAAGTGGACTCCAGTGTAATACGCTGGACGCTTTACACGTCCCTGCGGAAAAGTCCGCATCGGACGTGCGAACACCCCCTAAGTGGGGAGGGTGGTGTGTGGCGGGGATGTGCTTATAATGCCTCTCTCTGTTGTAGGTTTAGGTATGGCATGGAGATATTCTATCTTAGAAATGCGAGTCGGCGGTCTAGTGGTAGCATGCTTGACTGGCAATCAGAAGGTGCTGATTTCGATTCCCGTTCACTCCATCTTTTCCTTCCTATTTTGCAATCCGAATTTTTCCCTACCGCACCCCTACGACTATTACCTTCTCAAGACAGTCGCAACAGTCGATAAGAAAGTGCGATCCCGACAGAGGGAGACGGACACTCGGAAGCATGCAGAAGGCGCCGCACATGGACAAGAGGACATACAGATGCCCAAGCAAGATATATTGATATACTGTATCTATCTATCTATCTATCTATCTATATATATATATATATATATATATATATATAAAATAAATCCTTCCACGGCTCCTGCCGGTATTGGAGATATGAGGGGGGATGAACCACATCCCAGACCTCATACTCGTCTTAATTCTGAAGGACACGGCGAAGGATGCTGGCCGTGCCCA